GGGTGAGACTGGGCGCTGGATCAACCCAATCTTGTAGTAGCATTTTACACTTTGAAGTTGGAAAACGCATACCGAACATGGCAACACCCGCACTTAAACTATCCAGAAAAGCTTGCAACTTACCTGGATCGTCACTTAGTAGCACAATGTTATCCGCATACTCGAGATCAGACAGTCTGCCATCTGGGAATAAATCGATGCCGCTATCCTCGCACGAAGATGGGTCTGTTTTAAGAATTAAATCTATGACAAAGTTAAATAGAAAAGGAGAGAGAGGACAACCCTGTGGAACACGACTTTCCGTGGTAAACTCGGGTGAAAAAATGCCGTAAGCTCGAACTCGGCTTCGGCTATTGTTGTTGAGGGATTGTAATATTGAAATAAATTTCTCGGGCACTCCCTTCAAGGGAAAGCAGCGCCAGAGTTTAGAGCGGTCGATTGAGTCGAAAGCCGAGGAAAATAAAAATGGTGGGTCTACGAAAGGAGTGTCTATGTTCTAGAATTTGACGGAGTGTGAAGATGTTGTGGTCGATACAGCCTGGACTAGGTCTGAAACCAGCCTGCTTCTCACGCGTACACCGTTCACGTGCGGCAGACAATCGACGGAGTATGATACCGGCGAAAATTTAAGAGGCAATGTTGATTAAACTAATTCCTCTGTGGTTTTCACAGAAGAATCTGTCACCTGTTCTGTGCAAACCTCTTTTTGACCCTAAACTCAAATGAATATGGAATTTAGGGCGTTTTCGTTTGAGTCCCTTCGCATTCTGTTTACATTTGCTCCGCGGACTCGGGAGTGGGTGACGGTCAAGCAGTTTAAACTGCGGACACTCATTGTTTACAACCCCACTGTACGGAAAGCGTCACTTTTGCCCATATTATCACATGCATGTCATTAGTCTTTTAGTGCTGTTTCAAGTTCAAGACCACGGGTTTTCGGTCGAAATAACTAAATATCATTTGTTTGTGACTGTGTAACCTACGTCTTCTAGCGTACGTTCCATCCCGACGCGTGGAAGTGATTGTTTTATAAATCGGCCTGTTTTTTTGCTGTTACAGTTCGGTTTCAGTTTATACAACCACCATCCATGCACTTTCGTGCTTCGGTTTTGGCTGCTGTCTTCTAACTGCCCATTTGGATGAAGCGGTAGAAGGACAGGGAAGTTGAAAGTAGAGTCGAAGAGAAAATTGAGAATTTCAGTGGACTAAGGTTGCATAGAAATTGAGAAGATTGACGAACGCCACTGTTGACGTCACAGCCATATCACTCAGTGTCTCGAACCACTGGTTACCATCCATCCCCCTCCAGGGAGCCTAACACGATCATTATGACCGAGTCTCGTGGTTAGGGTTTTCATACCCTCGTGCAATGTCTTAGTTTGACCGCCGTTCGCTTTAGGAGTAACATTCAGTGTGCATTTTACAAGTGAGTAGCCCATCCGGCAACCTCTGTCCGCTAATTTTTCCATATAGTAAGCACATGTGTGCATAAGAAAACCAGTGTGTATCGCAGGTGCCTCTGAAAATTCTCATCAGTGCAATAGTTTCTCTTTGTTGAGCACTACTGTTTCATTCTTGGTCGAGGCATTCGTTTTAATCGAACATACTAGGGTTGAGTCTTAAGGCGTTCATTTGCGAATTCTGTGTTATCGTTCACTGTTGAGAAGCAAACTTGCTTTAATCGTGTACGACTCTTTGACTCTGCCTGACGAGTAAGTACCTCCGATTATCCACCTGGCAATGTTTCTCCGTACAAAACACCACAAACATCTGTGGAAAGCGCTATAATGTGGCAAGCGTGGCCTGCCACTAGGACTNCGCTCCTTGTTGATATCCAGTGTTCGACAAGGTTTTCCAGAAGCAGCGAATGAATCGAAAGCTGGTCACCGGATCATCTGGAACATCAGTGCTGCCTTTCAGTCCGCGCTTGGTTGCGCAAAGGTTAAAGTGCACCCTCGAACAAGGCCTATTCTGGACCGGGCGACCGAGTAGTACAATAGCCTACAACGGACACAACTATGAACGTTCTCGCTCTTATGAATCCGCACTCCGAATCTTCTTCGTCAATGGAAAGACATTCTATACCCTACACTCCATATTTTTCCAACTTTCCCCCATTTTACCTTTACTCCCCCCCTGACACCCCCCATTTCTCTCGGGTTCTTCAGACAATTGTACTAATAGTAGTACCTCGGGTGGCAATTCTGCCGCTGTTCTCTCTTGTCCTACCCCGACTAGCGTTCAGTTCTCACCGAATCCTCCACCATTTGAAGCCCTTCTTTGCCCTCGATGTCCTTTCAAACAAACCATGTTTAATGTGCGTACTCTGACGCGTATAGGACAACAACAGGCGTGTTTGGCTCGTGCGCCCGAAACCCAAGCCATCGATGTGTATCACATTCAAGACTAGCACCATTATCCGATTGACGTCCCCACCAAACCAATCTGCGAAGTTTCAAATAAGCCGTTTTGAGGACCCTGAGGCTGCGGCTTCCGGTCTTTCTGGCGTTGGCCTGGCTCTCGATGACAGAGCTGAAACTGCGCTCTTTGATTGGATCCCAGTCGACAGTAGGTTGTGCGCGGTGAAACTCGAAGGTTTGTGCAAAGTAAGCAGCCGTCGCCCCGATAGATGAAGCATGTTTGTCATGTCGGCGCTCCAACAGACTGCAGCCAAGATGCAGTCAAAGATGAATTTTACCGAAAACTACACGACCTGACGNCCTGACGTTGTCACCATGTCTGTCCGCAAGCTGGTCATAAAGATGTATCCGATTTTTCACTTCTATAGGTATGTTTTAAAGGTTAATATCATTCAGTTACTTGTTCTTCATCACAGTCTTATGTTGCAAGTTCAGTACAAAATGCGATTTCGATAAATGCCTTGGCTTATATCGTTTATTTCCACTTCCACTCCCGACGCTTGTCGAATGTAAAATGTTCGTCAGTTTCACAAAAATTAGGACATTCAGTTTCTCCTTATCTGATGACGTCGATCATAGAACGGTTTTCCTTTAGATTTTATGCTTCCCCAAGAATCATCGCATCATTATAAACAACCGAATTCTACCTGTGGCATTTCTGAAGTTCATTTCGCTACTGTGTGGAAGTCTGATTCTATTAATACCACATTGGCGATAGTAATACACCACCAATAGTTTGACTACTTGCTAGTAGGTAGACTGTTAATACACAATTATTGCGTTGTCCCTATCGTCCTATTTGCATTGTCAGACCCTACTGAGCGAAATCCCATTGATTTTAGACGATTTACATTATGATGGAACGCAACTTGAATTAAGAGATTCGCTGTCTCGCCGTTTCGCTGACCTCCTATCCAAACCACACAATCCTTTGCCAATCAATGGACGTCGGAAACACAATGGAAGAATTCGTCGAGCCATAACCTCATTGGATTTGTGTCTAATTCACCGTGTTGAGTCGGAATTGAGACGCTGGTTTTCTGTTAAGAAACTCCCAACGGGTGCTGGTGACTCTCCCAGTAATATTTCTAAACGACAGCCTAGTCGATGGACTCCAACGTTATCCTTAGTGTGCCGAACAGGAACAAGTGAGGAGCTCAGCACCAACAATTTGTTGTGTTTGGATGCATTCGAGCGTCTGTTGGTTCACTCAGTAGCCAACTACTTGGGATTGTTTTCGTACAGTAAGTTATCGCACTAGATGCGCTTCTTCTCAGTGGGTCCTCGTTTGATCTCGGTACATCGTGTGTATTTAATTGCTTTTTATGCGGGGAATTTAATTTCACCACATAATTGTTTTTAATGGAGCAAACAGGTCGGTATTTTAGAAGCTATTTAAAGTGAATATCATCAGGGTGCGCACAGAAGTTTGATGAAGCCGGTGAAGAAATCGAATTTTTTTTTACAGTTGAGCTCCTCGATAGGTAACAAATCATTTGCGCAATAAGATGATCAATGGGTAATAAATGTGGATTGTATCTTTTACCCCGGAAGTTCATTTTTTTCAGTGCCGTTCATTCTACTATAATAGCTGTTCTGTTTCAAGTAGCTCACGCAGCCTATGTCAGGAGTCGGGAGGACAATCCTAATAATGCCCACACACTTTTCTCACATGTGAGTCTTTGTCACCGTCGAGGTTATTCTATCCGAAACTATCATAGTAACAAATCGCTCTGCTCATTTCCTTCTAGTTTTAAATTTACCTGGAGGTGAATAGATCACTGATGAGACCCATTGGATTGATGTCCGGCTGTGAACAACCGTTTTTGGATGCACACGTTCTGAAAGTCTGATTTTTTTTTTCGATTTTGATGGCACCAACACAAAAGAATCACTGCTTGAAGTCGTATTTTTTTCAAAACATCCATTTGAAAAGAAACACTTGTGATCTTTACGCAGCTAGCCGATGGATAATGTCATGATTCTGTTTGTGTTATGTGCTGAGAACTGGCACATGCAGTTGTCACGCCGAAAAGGGATCACAGGCAGTCTGAGTGGGACAGTCGATTTAGCAAAGATAACTTGTCAGTGCGTTCCAGACGGTGGATCATCACTGTCCAGTCAGAAGCATCGGACCACCCGATTGTCAGTGCTCCCTGTCTAACCAATCGTCTGAATCCGGAGGCTCACTTAGTGTACACTTTGTCTGTTGAATTTTTATCGAAGAATTATGAATTTTCCACCGGATTCTCCCCACATCTGACCTTCCTGAAAATATAGCCCGTAAAGACAGTTATTCTCTCGGCAAAGTTCTTTGCTAGCCTATTTTCTAACTCTATGGTCCTCCTTATCGTTAGATCAGACGGCATCCAGGATACTGTAATGGAAACCGACACAGAAATGTAACCTTATTGATTGTTCCAACTGAAACAAACGATGTAAAAGCCAGGTATTGC